TATGTCTGACACAACAACAAGTGTTGGTGAAACAACAGCAACAACTTTTGCATCCACAAGTAACCCTCCAACATCCCCATCTGTAGAACCAACATTGACAACTTATGCTGGAACAACAACCATGTCTGACACAACAACAACTGTTGGTGAAACAACAACAACTTTGGCATCCACAAGTAACCGTCCAACATCCAAAGCCGTAACAACAACGTCGACAACTGATGCTGGAACAACAACAATTTCTGACACAACAACTTTGGCATCCACTAATAACCCCCCAACATCCTCAACTGTAGCACCAAAGTCGACAACTGATGCTGGAACAACAACTATGTCTGATACAACAACAACTGTTGGTGAAACAACATCAACAACTTTGGCATCCACAAGTAACCCTCCAACATACAAAGCCGTAACAATAATGTCGACAACTGATGCTGGAACAACAACAATTTCTGACACAACAACAACAACTTTGGCATCCACAAGTAACCCCCAACACCCTCAACTGTAGCACCAAAGTCGACAACTGATGCTGGAACAACAACTATGTCTGACACAACAACAACTGTTGGTGAAACAACATCAACAACTTTGGCATCCACAAGTAACCCTCCAACATCAAAAGCCGTAACAACAACGTCGACAACTGATGCTGGAACAACAACAACAATTTCTGACACAACAACAACTGTTGGTGAAACAACATCAACAACTTTGGCATCCACAAGTAACCCTCCAACATCCAAAGCCGTAACAACAACGTCGACAACTGATGCTGGAACAACAACAATTTCTGACACAACAACAACAACTTTGGCATCCACAAGTAACCCTCCAACATCCTCATCTGTAGCACCAACATTGACAACTGATGCTGGAACAACAACTATGTCTGACAAAACAACAACTGTTGGTCAAACAACAACAACAACAACAACAACAACTTTGGCATCCACAAGTAAACCCCCAACATCCTCAACTGTAGCACCAAAGTCGACAACTGATGCTGGAACAACAACTATGTCTGACACAACAACAACTGTTGGTGAAACAACATCAACAACTTTGGCATCCACAAGTAACCCTCCAACATCCACAACTGTAGCACCAACATTGACAACTGATGCTGGAACAACAACTATGTCTGACACAACAACAGCTGTTGGTGAAACAACATCAACAACTTTGGCATCCACAAGTAACCCTCCAACATCCAAAGCCGTAACAATAACGTCGACAACTGATGCTGGAACAACAACAATTTCTGACACAATAACAACAACTTTGGCATTGACAAGTAACCCCCCAACATCCTCAACTGTAACACCAAAGTCGACAACTGATGCTGGAACAACAACTATGTCTGACACAACAACAACTGTTGGTGAAACAACATCAACAACTTTGGCATCCACAAGTAACTCTCCAACATCCAAAGCCGTAACAACAACGTCGACAACTGATGCTAAAACAACAACAATTTCTGACACAACTACAACAACTTTGGCATCCACAAGTAACCCCCCAACATCCTCAACTGTAGCACCAAAGTCGACAACTGATGCTGGAACAATAACTATGTCTGACACAACAACAACTGTTGGTGAAACAACAGCAACAACTTTGGCATCCACAAGTAACCCTCCAACATCCAAAGCCGCAACAACAACGTCGACAACTGATGCTGGAACAACAACAATTTCTGACACAACAACTTTGGCATCCACAAGTAACCCCCCAACATCCTCAACTGTAGCACCAAAGACGACAACTGATGCTGGAACAACAACTATGTCTGACACAACAACAACAACTGTTGGTGAAACAACATCAACAACTTTGGCATCCACAAGTAACCCTCCAACATCCAAAGCCGTAACAACAACGTCGACAACTGATGCTGGAACAACAACAATTTCTGACACAAAAACAACAACTTTGGCATCCACAAGTAACCCCCCAACATCCTCAACTGTAACACCAAAGTCGACAACTGATGCTGGAACAACAACTATGTCTGACACAACAACAACTGTTGGTGAAACAACATTACCAACTTTGGCATCCACAAGTAACCCTCCAACATCCACAACTGTAGCACCAACGTCGAAAACTAATGTTGGAACAACAACTATGTCTGACACAACAACAACTGTTGGTGAAACAACATCAACAACTTTGGCATCCACAAGTAACTCTCCAACATCCAAACCAGTAACAACAACGTCGACAACTGATGCTGGAACAACAACAATTTCTGACACAACAACAACAACTTTGGAATCCACAAGTAACCCCCCAACACCCTCAACTCTAGCACCAAAGTCGACAACTGATGCTGGAACAACAACTATGTCTGACACAACAACAACTGTTGGTGAAACAACATCAACAACTTTGGCATCCACAAGTAACTCTCCAACATCCAAAGCCGTAACAACAACGTCGACAACTGATGCTGGAACAACAACAATTTCTGACACAACAACAACAACTTTGGCATCCACAAGTAACCCCCCAACATCCTCAACTGTAGCACCAAAGTCGACAATTGATGCTGGAACAACAACTATGTCTGACACAACAACAACTGTTGGTGAAACAACAACAACAACAACAACTTTGGCATCCACAAGTAACCCTCCAACATCCTCAACTGTAGCACCAAAGTCGACAACTGATGCTGGAACAACAACTGTGTCTGACACAACAACAACTGTTGGTGAAACAACAACAACAACAACTTTGGCATCCACAAGTAACCCTCCAACATCCTCAACTGTAGCACCAAAGTCGACAATTGATGCTGGAACAACAACTGTGTCTGACACAACAACAACTGTTGGTGAAACAACAACAACAACAACAACTTTGGCATCCACAAGTAACCCTCCAACATCCTCAACTGTAGCACCAAAGTCGACAACTGATGCTGGAACAACAACTATGTCTGACACAACAACAACTGTTGGTGAAACAACATCAACAACTTTGGCATCCACAAGTAACCCCCCAACATCCACAACTGTAGCACCAACGTCGAAAACTAATGTTGGAACAACAACTATGTCTGACACAACAACAAGTGTTGGTGAAACAACAGCAACAACTTTTGCATCCACAAGTAACCCTCCAACATCCTCATCTGTAGCACCAATATTGACAACTGATGCTGGAACAACAACTATGTCTGACACAACAACAACTGTTGGTGAAACAACATCAACAACTTTGGCATCCACAAGTAACCCTCCAACATCCAAAGCCGTAACAACAACGTCGACAACTGATGCTGGAACAACAACAATTTCTGACACAACAACAACAACTTTGGCATCCACAAGTAACCCTCCAAAATCCACAACTGTAGCACCAACGTCGAAAACTAATGTTGGAACAACAACTATGTCTGACACAACAAGAGTTGGTGAAACAACAGCAACAACTTTTGTATCCACAAGTAACCCTCCAACATCCTCAACTGTAGCACCAACGTCGAAAACTAATGTTGGAACAACAACTATGTCTGACACAACAATAAGTGTTGGTGAAACAACAGCAACAACTTTGGCATCCACAAGTACCCCTCCAACATCCTTCACTGTAGCACCAACATCGACAACTGATGCAGGAACCTCAACTATGCCTGAAATCACAACTATTATGGGAGAGATAACAACAACCTCAGCTTCCATAAGCACAATGGCTTCCACAACCACAACAAACCCTAAAACATTTTCAACTAAAGAAACAAGCACTAAAACTCATCTAAAAACAACAACGATGTATGAAGGTAAAAGCACAACTACAGCTCCCAAAGCTACCACTACAAAATTGGTGACGGTCTCAACAACAGAACCAAACACTACAATTCATCCAACAACCTCAACTATGGCTGAAACAAAGCAAATAACAACTAAATCCATGTCTACCTCACCAGCAACTGCCAATGTTACATCAATAAAGCCACACACTCAAACCTCCATATCAGGAACTATACCATCAAATGTCACTCAGGCAGCAATAACCCAATTCACTACAACTTCAACCCTAACAGTGACTGACAAGATATCTCTGAAACCTGAACAAACACCAACTGTGTAAGGGCAATGAATACATTTTGTGTGTGTGTGTGTGTGTGTGTGTGTGTGTGTGTGTGTGTGTGTGTGTGTGTGTGTGTGTGTGTGTGTGTGTGTGTGTGTGTGTGCGTGCAAAAGGTGCAAAACCTATCTGATTCATTCTCTTACTTACCCACCATTGTTCTCATTTACCTTCTTTTCCAGGATTGGGAGGGTGATTATTTACATTCGTCTCATATTTGTCACACTGGGCCCTATACCAAGTGAGGGTAAAATAATAAAGTTAGCTAACTCTCTCCTGGATTCACGTCTAAGTACCCCTGTGAGCTTTGTGAATGTTACTTATACAAGTGAGTTTTCTTTATTTTTTTTTCTTCATTAGCCAGTAAACAAATTTCCGTATTACAGTAAAACGTTGTGTGCTTATAGTATTAGCTAATTTGTATTATATGATTTTTCTTTTTAAGAAATTTCCAATACCTCATATGCCCTGAATTTTGGATTTCAAATCAACAATGTTTCCATGTCAGAGAAACTTGAACTCAGGAATAGCACATATCAGTTAATCCAGGACTCTATAAATAAACTGGTGAGTTTTATTTGTATTTAAAATATGCTTATTTTTATTCAGCTTTGATTTCGACATCCACCATCAACTTTAACTATTACCGCACCAATTAATTTGTTTATCTTGCTGACCTGTTTAGCTGAACCAGATCCTAACAGAGCCCACAGCCTCTCCATTTCTGTTCAATGGCACCAGTTTCACGTAAGATTTAGACTAAGAAATCTGCTTTGAAATTGGTTTGATTGGATGTAAAATTAGAAGCACAATGTGATCTTTTTAAAGTGTTTACTTATGTCAATGTACATTTTAATGTCTCCCCTTAGGGAAAATTCCACCACTATTGAGGCTAGTGTACAGTATGTTTTCTCAGAAAGTGATATCAAGAAACCCAGTGCCTTTCTCAATGCACTTCTTGGGGTTAATATGGGTATGTGCTTCTGCATATAAATGTTAATATTAATAATTTCATAATTCTTTGAGCTGGATGTTTTTTTTTGTCTTATTTTAATTATTTTACACATTCTCATCTACAGAGACTATTACCACAACTACACCTGCTGCAAAAACAACCACTTTGTTCCCCACAGTGCTGAGCACTTCAATCATAAACAACAGCACTAGTGTAGCATGGATTGCAGCCATAATCGTCCCTTGTGCTATTGCCATCATACTTGTACCGTGCTGGATTTTCCTTTGTGTAAGTATTTATATAGGCTAGGTTTAATAATAATTTACCTGAAACCTATAAAAGTTTCTATAAGTTCGATTCTAGACTAACAATGCTCTCTCTCTCTGTCTTTAGTGTTTGCTCTGTGGATGCTTCACAGGATTAAGACGACGTTGGCACAGAAGACAGTCATACAATGTACAATACACCACTCGAAACAGCCTTTTCTAGAGAACTAGAGACTTGTTTCAATAAGAGAAATACATCAGGAAATATTACTAGCACGAATATGTTATATTACTAATCCAAATTGTGACAATGGAATACTTTAAATTCAGATTTATCTTTCTATAATAAATATATCTTAGAGATGTTATAATCACAACATACTATTTATTATTTTCTTGCGCCTGTATTGCTGGACAGACAGGATCTCAAATTGTGATGAATGTAATGTAATTTATTTTCAGAATTTAATATATATATGAGGGACAATATGGATAACAATATGTTAAACCTATTAACTTTTTTATGCACTGTATCTTTCTGTAACTCAAATTAAAAAAAAATCATACGCATTGTTCAACAAGAAAAGCAATGAAAGTGTACTTCATTAAAATTACTTCTGTTTTAATCTGACAAGATGATTTGTATTTCAGTAAAGCATCGCACAAACTCTAAAGACACAAACAGAATATTTAACCTGTTAAAGGGATAGTTTACTTTGAAATTCATTTTTAATATGTTTTAGCTTACCTAAGGGCATCCAAGAGGTGTAGGTGTCTTTGTTTTCACAGTATTTTACATTTTGACATTTTTCGGTCAAACCATTGTTGTCTGTCAGTCATATAATGCAGGTATGGGGGTCCATGTCAAAGAGCATGCACAGAGAAGTCAAAATTAAACATGATTTAATGACTCGTAAATGTAAGTACACATTGATGGCCTAAGACACGAAACGAGCGGTTTGTGTGAGAAAACGAACATTATTTATATTGTTTTTTACCTCGTGTTAACAGCCATGTTCAACTGATCTGAATCAGATGTCTAACTGAAACGAACTGCGAAGAAGGGCTCGGGTCCCGCTGCTGCTGAGGCACAGCGAAGACGCTCGTCCTGGGGTTCGCAGATGGATTTAATGGCGGGGTTAGAGACGGGTGATCCCCTATCTATTCCTTTAACCGTTGAATCCGACGCTTCAGTTTATGAGTCAGAAGCACGCACTGCGGTTTCTTTTCCTGAAGTGCAGCAGGGCCGTATTAAGAGCTCACTGGGCCCCGGGGCTATGAGTTACTGCAGGGCCCCCCCACCACTTTAGGTCACCAACTACATGAGCTAAATGTTATATTATTATAGCCTACGAGTCATTTTATCCATCTATGATATACTTCACAGTTAAGTTATGTTACTTTTAACATGATTTTTTTATCATATCAAAATGTATTGACTAAAATTTCATAATTATTGTGACCAATTTCAATATCACCAAAAAATAATAGTAGCTTAAGAAAATAATCTCAAGCTTACTGATGACAAGAGTCACAAATTAAAATAGAACAAAGGCACAATAAATCGACCTATGAAAAACTTAAAGCACTGAATAATATTATATAAAGTAATCAAATATACAATACATGGTTTTCACTATAAATTCAACATTCATTCTTGTTAATTTTGCAAAAGTAATTCAGTCAAATGCAGTAAATTACTTTCTTTCTGATGTTTGATTAACATTATTGACACACATGGCGACAGCAGCTTTATTAGCAGCGTCTGTCACTTTGAGACCTCAGAGTCGGATTCAAGTGCGCTGTGCAAAACCGTCTCAAGTTCACCACAGTCTATGGTTCACCTTGGTCTCAAAACCAGCATTTACAAAATAAATTCTCCCGCTGCTCACTGTGCCTGAGCAGTTTGAAATAATTTGTATCCAAACCACAACGTTTAAAAACGCGTTTAAATGATAAACTTACATCATGATGGCGCAGCAAAATTTAAATATTTCTACCGGATATATTATCGCCAGTCCTTTAGGCGAATATTGAGTTTAATCAAACACAAAAAGCAAAATTATACATCCATCAAGTTAATATTCAAACTTACCGAAAGTTTGTGGGGTCGATGACGCTGTGTTTTAAGACTAGATTAGAATGAAGAGAAGAGTAAAGGCGATTTATTGGTTGATGTATAACCTATTCTAATAAGGCGCAGGCAGCAATCATCTATAGGCCTACGTGCAGCAGCAGGTCGGTCGTTCACAAGTTAAATATAGAATAAATATATTTGTCATATCAAATTAAAACCTGACGTTTCAATTTACCATGCCCTGCTCAGAGCCGTTGGCCCTGCATGCCTACGGGGTTTGATTGACAGGTGGCCTGGCCAATCATAACGCCGAATACGCAACTTTGTCCGACAACAAAGCTGTCAGTCGGTGGACATGAACTTGAAAACGGTAATGTTTAAATTACTTAAATGACAATATTTGAAAGTTGAGACTTTGTTTCATATCAACAGTAAGCTGCTCTGAACTCTCTCTCGTAATCACTCGGTGTAACGTTAGTCTTTGCCCGCGAAGTATTTTTCACTGCGTGAGTGCATGAGAACATGATGTGCGTGACTCGCGAGAGCCGCCTGGCTCGTGGCCCGTCCGTCACATAGTACCTAAAAAAGGCGGGTCTTTGCGAACGTCTCTATTAATGATAATGATTCCATGATAATGCATGGAATATAAGGCAAAGTGCAACTAAATAACAGGGATAATTTGTGGGGGACGTTGTTGCGTGGTAAGGCTTTGGTAATCAGATGGCTTGCAGTATCTGCTCCACAGCCAATCACGGGCCCCCTCCTTGCTTGGGCCCCGGGGCTTAAGCCCCGCCTAGCCCTATGGTTAATGCGGCCGTGAGCACTCCAGTTCTGAGGAACTGGATGTTGTGAGCTTGGGAGATGAGGATTCACACAATCACACACACACACAAGAGGAGCTTTTGGAGGTTGTCACTCGCGCTGTTGCTAGATTAAATCTGGACTGGCCAGCCGGTGAGCAGGAGTCACGTCAATAAAAAAGTAAATTTAGATGAACGATTTCTGCCATCTAGATCGCAACCTCCAAAGCGGGGCTTACCATTCTTTCCTGACCTCCACACTGAGGTGTCGAGGTCATGGATTAGACCGGCATCATTCAGAGTTTTTAACCCAGCGACATGTGAATATTCAAATATAGTACTGCATTGTCATCGGGTCCAGGAGAAGCTCCTTCATCAGATCTGGATACGACCTGGATCAGGCATTTTCAGTTAGATGTAATGCAGACTTTTAAATATGAACATAACTCATCTGTTAATATGCTCATGGTTTGTTACTCAGACCAGACGCAAAAAGTGTGCTAAATAAAACAAAACGGTACTAGCCAAAACCACCACACAGTTGCTTTAAGTGTGAGTTAGATGTATATTAATTTTATATCAGACAATGCATGATTGTAGCCTATAAATCAGGATTTGAGTATAGTAAGAGTGATTCCTGGTTAACACAATGTAGCCTTTATTAATGGGCTGTGTTTACTATTTATACTTGTTTTATGTATCACAACAGAAAATATAACGTCATCATAAATATGTGAATGGATCTGTGATGTCACATGCCACCACAAGTATCACAAAATCCTGTAGGAAACACACACACACACACACACCTACTGTATATACTTATTTATGTATGAAGAGTTCAGATGCAGAAGCCTCTAAATGAAGGTAAATTGTAATTTACTGGTAAAATTAGTATTTTTATCAGTGTAGGTTCAGTTATTTAACTTTTAAATAGTAATAGGTTCTTTTCTGGGATTTACCACTGCCTCTGATGTCATGATTGTTAAGGATAATTCTCACAATAGGATGTTATGAAAGCATATCGCCGAACAGTAGTCTAATTAAACTATTATTTGTTCAGACAACTTTCAAAACAGTTGAAACATGAAAAAGAATGGTAATATTGTAAATCATGTTTAAAAAATAAAATAAACTCGATTGGATGAAATTATGTTGCTATGTTTATATTGGCTATGTTTATGTTTGTATAGTGATGTTTTTATGGGTCTGGTGAGACCAAAGAAAAATTTCCAGCCTTCCAAAGAGGAGAAATTAATGTTTTTAATATTTGAGACATTGTGGCTTGATTTCTTTTATTATTCATTTGTCAGGACCAAAATAACATTCTGTACAGTGAGGAGCCTACAGGTTACAAGCTTCACATTAGAAAAATAAGTAGGCTACAATAATAATAATAATAATAAAAAAAAAAAAAAAAAAAAAACATATTTATTCGCTTGTTTCCAAGGTTGTTTCAGATCAACACCTGCAAGTGACCACTAGATGTCACAGTGGAGAAGGGTGTCGGATTGATTTGATGCCTCGACATATCATGCGGCACATTTGGTTCAACTGTTTCATTGCTTCACGAAGCCTCGATCTGCCCACCCCTATCAGAGAATCGTAACAAGGCAAAAAGTCCAAGATCATACACAGGGAAATCATAAACAGGAAAATACGCAGAGATGTAGCCAAAGCAAAAGAAATCTAAGTAGTTAAATAGTCAATGGGATGTGGACCAGGTGTGAGGGTAATCAGTATAGGCTATCAGGAACGGGGTAAATGGGAAATGAAGTCCAGTAGCCTACTCTTGTGATGGTACCCTGTGGTATCCACAGAGGCTGGATTTGTGACTGTGCCCCTGTGCCCCTATTAGAACTATGCTATCTATTATATACTTTTATGAATTCTATTGGGAGAAAAAAAAAAAAAACACGAGAAAAAGGTGTAGACGGTGAGTCAATTTTCAGAAATTATTAGGCTAATGATTGTTATGTTTTGAAATATGTTGTTTAGCTGTGTTTTCCGGTGTGTTCGTTGTCAAACTATTTTTTAAAATTATTTAGAAAATATGCTTACCATTATTTTAGATTAAAAATTTAATAATTGTACTTTATTGAGAAAATATTTTTGTGTGTCTTGTATATTTTTATATATATTATATATTTTATTCAGATAGCATTATAAGCTGTCATGTTACAATGTGCCCCACCTATGGGGCATTGTCACTCTTCATTTCCATTCTTTTGGGGAATATCAAGAAAAAGGTACTGTATTAATAAAACAAAACCACATAATTGTACTAGACTTGTGAAATGAATGTGGGGAAAAACTAAATACTCTTAAGTAGATTTTGAAAAATTCATAAACCATTAGATTGTGCCATTAGATGTTGGTTGTACAGTGAAACTTAACTTGAGAGGGAGACATTCAAACTCAAACAAAGAGTATACAGTTTTGACTGTTTTTTATTTTTATTTTTTTATGTTAGCATATAATCTGAATTATACATTACTCACAACCCTGTAGGTCAAGATTGGTTGCTCAATGAAGCAGGGTTGAACCTGGGGTGCGTTTCCCGAAAGCATCGTTAGCCAACTATGGTCGCAAGTTCCGTCGTTATCAGCATAGTTCAACGATTCGATGGTGTTTCCCGAAACCATCGTTCCAACGAACATTCGCAAACAGCATCGCGAAGTTGGGTGGTTTGAACGACGTCAGCTCTCGACCTGTGGTA